GGAAGCTGATTAACCTCTAATTTGAATTGAAACTATTTTCTCACAGAAAAATAGACAAATAAATTCTATTACAAAGAGATCATTCCTTTTCATGTTAATTTTCAATTTTTCAGCAATATACCGTGGCACAGCGAATGCTTTATCTCATGAATTCGATCAAGATTATTCAAAAATAAGTCATTATATTCAAAGAAAACTTGATTGGCCACTTTCATTTAAACGTTTACTTCTTCATCACGTCCAAAAAGATGTATATGATAATAAAGGTAAACTTGATAATATTGCAAATTTTGTATTTGATCCAACAGCAAATATCAAACCAAGACGTCGTTTTCATATATTAATTCCAACAATTGCTTCAGTTGAACGACAATATGGTTCTGGTGTTAGTGCATTATTTCATCTTCAAAATGGATTTTTTTTTATTAATTTATTAACATTAATTGTTTGGCTTGCATTAATTATAATTCCATATAATGTTTTAAAATCATCAACAACATCTTCAAATTTAACATTTACATTTGCATCAATATTTACAACAAAAGATTATTTATCTGAATCAAATCTATTTCAAGGTTCTTATCCTAGAGGAGTAATAAATGATAAATATAATTTATCACTTATATATTTAATAACAACATATATTTATTTTATTATTTGGTTTATTTTTATTACAATACGTTTTTCAATAACATATAAACGAAAAGTATTTAATTCAATATTAAGTGCAAAACTTGGTATTGGATTTATGTGTACATTTGCACGATGTGATTATACAATTAAATCAGATAAAGAAAAACGAAAACATATAAAAGCTTTTCAAAGACAATTTTTAGATTTAATTGGAAATGATGAAACTATTGAATCGAATCATCAAAATCGATTTAAAACTTGTGGATATAAATTTAAACTAGTTATAACAAGTTTACTTCATATTGTATTAGCTATTGGATTAGGTAAGATAAATAAAATCAAATAATTTGATATATTTTTGTTTATTCGATTTAAAGGTGTTATCAATTGGTTAATTTTATCGTCTTGTAATAATCCAACTATTGATTGTTCTGGATCAATTATTTATATAGCTCTTATCAATCGATTAATGCCATATTGTATTGTTCTTCTTACACAAATTGAACATTTTAAATCTTTAGCAGATAAATTGAATGCAGTAGGATTTAGGTTAGTATTAAAAGATATTCTAAAAACTATAAATATGTTGACTTTGATCATTTATTAAAAATGATAAGGATAAAAAGTTTCGTTTTGAAAATAATTTTATGTAAATAAATTAATAACTTTTTTCGTACTATGTACCTTGTCTGAGAAAAATTTTCTAACACTTACTTTACACATCTCTAGACATATGTGACTAGTCAATTATGTAGTTTTTACATCCTACTGAGATGTCTGATTGTCCATTAGACTTGGAGAATGAATCTTTAAGTTTTGTTTAATTTAACTGTTTTATGTGACTGAATCTCGAGAATTTTTACAAGAATTGGACTGAATATCCATCAGTGTTGATATGTGAGTAAATTTTCGGATTTGTCAAATAGCATATACTGACTTCGGTTTTGTGAATTATGTAAGTTTTTTAATCAACTTGCTAGAAAGTTATGAATTTAATCAATAGTCTATTGAAAAGATAGAGCCAGAATGGTTTCTAAAATCTGATTTAATGAAAAGTTTCTTGATCAACAGATGGATACTAATGAATCGATATCATATCAAATTTAACTTGGATAGTTTTTATCGATTATTTGTATTCTGCTACTAGCACACTACATATTTTTTCGACAATCTTGACAGTGATCTTATAGTAATCCATACAGGCTACATATTTACTAAACGATAATTCGATAATATATTTTTCTTTTTGTAAATCAGAAAATGATTAACATTTCGTTAATTGATCAAGAGTATTTTATTGATATTCATTCTTGAAATATTTCTTTTTATTTAGATGTATATTCTTGAACGTATCGATAATGTTATCATTTAGTATATATTTTTTTATTCATGCACCTCCATGTTATGAAACAGCTTATGGTCAATATATCTATATACTTCTGTTATCAGGTACATTTCAAAAATACTTTAATGATTTTAAATATAAAATATTTCTTGTAGATGTATTTGCATCATTAGTTTTTCCAATTTTATTTGGTCTTTTATTTGATATAATATGTGGTAAAAAAAAACGTAATTTTGATGGTATTAATCTTCATGTTCAATTAAGTCCACCTGTATTACTCTATAGTCAATTTCTAGTATGGCTTGGAATTTATTTTTCTCCTCTTATATCAATAATGATATTAATAAATATTTTATTTTCATTTATTTCTCATCGTTTATATATATATATTCGTTCACTTCGTTCAGACTCATATAAACGTGTTTTTATTTGGAATGCTCATCGTCTTGAATATTTAATATATTTATTAGCTTATATTATTTTAATAGTAAGTGTAACATTTATTGTTGTATTTACAACACAAATAAAACCAAGTGAAAATTGTGGACCATTTCGTCAATTAAATGTTTCATATGAAATTATTGAAATTTTTTTAAATGAATATCAATCATCTGTTTTATGGATATCAATTATTAATTTTTTAACATCACCAGGTTTTATTTATTTTCTTGGTGCTACTTTTATTGTTATTGTTTATAAATTAAGACATGAATCATTAGCTGAAAAAGAAGTAATATTTCTATCAAATCATTTTTGTTGTTAATTTATATCTATTTTGTTTATTTATTATATTTTAGCTTGTATTCATACGTGATAGTAATCTTGCAAGTAAAAAAAAATTACGAGAAAAAACAGTAAAAAAATTACATCAACAACAAAAGAATAAAAAACAAAAACGAAAACCTGTTAAAATAACACGAGTTGAGAATGATGATTATGTTCAACGAGATGAACAACTTTAAAAAATTATCTGATTATATATCTTTCTTTTGTTCCGTCCATATTTATATTTTTCTTTTTTGTTTTTGACATATTCTTTACAATATTTTAATTCATCTATCTTCCGTTTTTTTTTCTTATAATTTAATTGTATATTGATAAAGAAAGTTGCAATCTAGAAATAAATCTAAATCTCTATGTTTTGTTTTCTTACGAGAATATACGACGAACTACGAAACATCACTTGTTTACGCATACATTTTCGTGAAACTTATGAAATCATAGGGAGATTTTTCTATTACAAACTCTTAATATTATCACTGAAAATATTCTGTATGACAGAATATAGTATACAGTAATGGAAAGGACAAAAGTTTTACTTCTTTTCTATCATGTATAACATCATTGTAGAGATTCGATTTCGTTTTCGAAAGATAGTTCATGATTTTCTCTATAAGCATTTGTTTTTTTGAAAATGTTTTACCTGAATATATTGGATTTACATTATTTTGACTGAGTTGTCAGACTTAGAAAGAATTTTGTTAATTTTAAGTTATAATATAAATGATTTTCGAACTTTTTTCGACGCGTATTAGAAAGTTTTGACAGTGATCAATAAAACTATGTTAAAAGATTCTTGTTGAGACTTTCGATTGCCAAATAATAATAATTTTTCGAGATGACTAACATTGTGACTTTAAAATTGACGATATTGAGTTTCAAAAATACTTTCTTATCCTGAAATAAATGAAGTTAATCTGTTTTAAAAGATACGATTGATAGAATTTTGCATGCACTATCTGTCAATGTATTCGAACGTTTACTTCTCTCTTGTTATAGAAAAAATAATAATATAATACATTCTCTAGAAAATTACGAAATGCTCTTTCCATCATTCGAAATATTTTAAGCGTTAAAATATATTCCTATGTACGATATATATGTTTTTGTAAACTAGTTTGTAGGAAAAACTCATGAATTATCTTTCAAAACAACAATTGATCCTATATAATGCATCTATACTGAACTAAAGAAGAAATAAAAATAATGCAAAAACTTTGATCCTTTTCGTTATATATTATATGTCTATTCTCTCCATTGTACACTGGAAAAAAAGTGAAAAGATATCTGTTATTGATATAGAAAGTACTTCTGATTCTGCTTGAAAGGAAATGAATCATTTTAAAGATTTTCAAGTTTTCACGAGGAAAGTTCTCCAACTCTTCCATCACCTGTGAGTCGAAATTCGAAAATCATTTTTTCTGTTACTCCGATATTGATTTAAAAAATAACATAAGCTGGAGTATCTCTGTAGCAATCAACTACAGACACGAACTCTCTTCAGGATATTCATAACACATTTAGATTTACATAATGCATATAGTCTCGACTCAAAAACGATTAAACAGTTGGAGGACTTCGATAGGCAAAATAAGAAGTCAAATGGCATCTTACAGTTGGAAATAATCTCTGATTTGATCTTGTTGTAGTTTATGTCATTTCGATTTAGTTTCCATTTCATTAACGATTAATTTCAAATAACTTTTGTTTTAGATAGAAAATTTTCCATTTATTTCAATTGAAACACATTGACAAAGTCTTGTAGTCCGAGGTAAATAGTTTTTATTAAACGTCTTTCATATGATTTTCTTAAGATAATGTTTTATGAAATAGTTCATAATATCAAGAAATTTTCATGCTTTTTTTTCCTCAGTTGTACAATTGAACATTTAACTTTTATCTACTCAGATATCTTCAGCAATAAGTCCATCGCAACGGCAAGCATCATTAACATCCCCTCTAACTCAATCCCAAAAAGTTACTCATTCCTAAGAGTAGGTCGAAAAGATTTATTTCTATCTATTGATATCGAAAAAACCCCGTCGATAAATATCTTAGTTCCACTAATCTCTAGGATTAACGCGATAAACACCTGAAAGGAGCTATGACTCGAATATCTTTTTGTTTTTTACTAATTTGTATTCATTTTTAATGTTAATGATGAATAGGATGATTCATGTAAAATGAAAGAATTTCTATCAAAAATTTCCGCATCTATTATTGACAGAATAAAAAAAATATTATGAGCAATGTGGTCAAAGTAATGATCGTTTTCTATCTGGTTTAACATATAGACTTTTATCAACACACCATCTGATGGATAACTAAAACCTTGTACACGTACTACTTAGATTTATATTGTAGGAGAATTTTATAATTGAAAAATTCAACATTCAAATAGCTATTCAGGAAGTAAGAGAAACAAATATTCGCGAAATAAATTTAAATAAATTTGTAGATTTTATCAGGCATATAAAACTGATTATATTGGTAAAAATACTTGTGATAATGGAACTGACTTTGATATATTATTTATACATCGTAGTACTAATGCATATATCGGTAGTGAAGAAACGGCAAATATTTGTTTGATTCATCGACTTTAAAAAATTGAAATGCATTTAGAAAGACATTGATTGAATCAATTGAAGTCAAACAAGAAAAGTTACGTTTGAAATCTCCATTTCCTGCTGATATTGGTCTCTTCAATTGCCTAACAACTGTAACTAATGTTGTTGACACAGTTGGCTTTCTACCACAAATATGTTATGATTGGTTTGCTTCATTTGGATGTGAATGAAATTGTGGAACTTAAGTTTGTTGCTTATATTATTTTTATTAATCATAAAAAGATTTTTTCTATTTAATTATTTTCAATTGGCAGACATGTGAAGAACTTAGTGACAGTTGAAGAAAAAATTCAAAACAATAAAAGAATTTATTAATGAAAGACATGTTAGTGGTGTTCAAGATGGATAGACCAATCTATTAGTGATTATTCCAGGTGAATCATTCGTTTTGTTCAATTTACAAAAAGTACTAAAAGATACGAAAGAACAATTTGATTTAAATAAATGAATATTCCAGAATTTTAAGACTTAAGATGCTTCAGTTCTTGTTCAATCAGGTTCATTTTATGGAAACTGTTATTATTATGAAGAAGTCGACAAATATTATTAAAGCTAGTTTTTGATCTCTCTGATTTTTACAAAGATGAATCTTGTAAATAAATAAATAAATATTTATATATAAACTATTTTCATATTTTAATGTATTTCGTATCATGAAGGTACTGTTTAGTTTGCTACAGTAATGAATCAATTTAGTAAATGAACTGTTTTATTTTAAAATTCCAGTTTTTCCTTTTCGTTTCGTCACAAATAGAAAGAACATACTATTTGTACTTTAAGTGATTTTGCTCACTGATCAATTCAAGTAAATCCCTTTAAAAATCTAATTAAGATCTCACGTCCTCCAAAATCGATTTTTCAATGCAGTGCATAGAATTCTCATGAAACTCTCTGATGATGTTTGACTAATGAAAATACACCACCAAAAACGTTTTCACGGCTCCGAACCTTACTCTTCAGGTGATTCCCAAGACCCATTGTGAAAAATAGCGTTTTCATGCGTACATATATTTTTTTTTCAATAGACTTCAACCTACAACGCTCGGACTACTCTCATTTCAAAGAGAACTCCTTATTCCTTCAAATGAGGAAAAGGATTTTTTAGTTTCTATTTTATTTTATTTTTCGGGCCCTCAAAATCTTAAAACTTCAATGTTGTCTAGAAACTTTATGATTAGTTTTATATTGAGAGTCAAATAAAAAAATCCTTTTCTTCTTATCTTATTCAAAAGAGAATGTGTCTATCTATGGAATAAAAACGAAACTGAAGTTCAATAGAATGATCACTATCGAAAAGAACAAAAAGTATCTTTTTCCTTTTAAAAAAACCGATTTTTTGGAGGTGGAAGGAAACTTTAAGAGATATTAAATTATATTTAATAAGATCTTATTCGACATTTTCAACATGAAACAAAACATCGTTGAGTTGAATATATAACCAAACATCGAGATACAAATCAAATCAATATGGTTACTCTCTAATCATTTTATTTTCTTCTGTATTGTACAGTTCTTTTTTTTTTTTTTATTCAATAAATTTCCTATCAAAGCTGTTAAATTTATCAGTATATGGAATATCTATTATTTTCTTTTTATAGATTTCATTGTACATGTACAAACATTTTATTGATCCTGATTCTACAGATAGTGGAGGTTATGAACGTCGTCCACGAGGACCAAAAAAATCTGATGAAAATAATGAATATTCAAAAAAATCTTCAACTCTTACTAATCCTCACGTAATCGATAATAATCATCTTGAAAAACCTTGTAAAGCTTGTATTGACTTTAAAGATTGGTTAAAACATAGTAGTAGTACTAATATCGAAAGAAAACCAACTACTGTTGATCAACAAATTTCAATTAATGCTCCATGTCCATTAATGCGTGATGATTTAGGTCGTGCATCATGGTCATTACTTCATACAATGGCAGCTTATTATCCAAATGAACCAAAAAAAGAAGAACAACAATCAATGAAACAATTTATTAATTCATTTTCAAAATTATTTCCATGTCCTGAATGTCGAACCGATTTTCAAGAAGAAATGATTAAATCACCACCTGATGTTTCGAGTTGTATTGGACTATCAACATGGATGTGTGAACAACATAATATAGTTAATAAAAAATTAGGAAAACCTGAATTTGATTGTAAACGAGTTTTAGAACGATGGAAAGATGGACCAACAGATGGTAGTTGTGATTAATAATATGAGTTTTTTTTTTCTATTATGTTTTTTTTGTTTGAATAAAATACAACAAAAAAAGTAAATTGAATATAACAGAATTTTTTTTTTTGTCATGTACAATAGAAATTTTTAAGCAGATTTAGTACCATTTATTACGGTTGCGAAAATTTTAGGATCAACAGCAACAATTACATTAAGAACAACATTTACAATAGCTAAAAGAACAGATAAAATAAGTGAAAAATTATTTAATGATATTAAACGATGTTGTCGACGTTCTTTTGATATATCATTAGTACCCAATAAAACCAATATACATGCATTTACAACTTGAATAAGCAACGATATACAAACAAGTGCAAGACCAACATACCAAAGTGTATCTTGATTTGTTTGATTACCAAGAAGAGTTTTTAATTGTACAGCATTTGTTACAAGTAATGCTATTTCAATACTACTATTAGCCAAAGTTTTTTTTGTTGCATAGTTATTAAATGTAGTGTGTCCACCATTTAAAGTATCGTGACGATTTGTATGATCTTCCATATCTATTGTTTGTTTCGGCATTCTAGATGAACAAAAAAACAAGATGTTTGTTATTCTATTCTTCAAAACACCTGACAGTAAAACAACAACACACGCACGTCTACAAGTTACAAACAGCTGACTCATATACGATTATTTGATACCCTCTCTATTTCGTGATTGTATTTGATTTTAGCAAACGAGGTAAAACCATGAAGATTGATAAAAAAAAAATATTCACGATTATTTTAATCCGTTTCTTCTTGTTTTGTCTGAATATAAACTTACATTTTATTAATATAATCGTTGCAGATTGAGTCTTATCTACGTAAAAGAAAAGAATAAATGTATTTTAGAACAATGATGACCGTTTTTAGATGTCTTGTATATTTTTTTTTCTTCTGCTGTTACTGTTCGTTCTCGTTTGTTGATCGGCGGAGATAGATTACGGCGAGGTATCGACAGAAGAGAACAGTCGAAAGAGAGAAAAAAAAGAGACTAGTCTTGACACAGAAAATATAGCAGACTATTAATATACGAAGAGAAAAAAGTGATGAGAATGATGAGCAAACAGACGATAACCTCGTTATCTTGCTTGTTGCTATAGAATAGGAGAATGAAAGTCAAAAAAAAAAAAAAGATTTGATACCATTGTTAAACAATTAAAAAGAATGTGTATATAAAATGTTCAGACAAAAGGTTGCCGATAAAGATCATGGCAATTAAAAACATGAGGCCACAACATGAGACAATGTGAATGTTCAACCTTCTCTTCTTTTTTTTCTTGTTTCTACCGACTGACATCACGTAGAGAAAAGAAATGTATAAACCTTCATTCATTCATTCTTTTATTTTTTTTTTGCTCTATCTCAATATTTGTCAAGTTGGACACATAATACACAGACATACAACATCTGTTAACATGCCGACTAAATTATTTTTTTGAGATAGAGATGAAAGAGATTTTCTAATAAAAAATTCATATCAAAATAATAGTTCTAAAATTGACACATTGATAATATCGTTCCAATCATTGGTAATTTTTCTTTTTGATGACGAAAGAGAATCTGATCAATGGATGTATTTTATTTTAGCAATATTATATCATCATTCGACGCTCTTACTACACGAGTCATATGATATTCTTCACATTAAATCTTGAGTGCTGATATTATCAATACAACTTGAGTCTTATCTTGAGGTCTTTAGCTTTTTGTCATTAGTGTTCATATATAAAATTATTTTATGAGATAAAATACAATTATGTTTTTATTATTTTTCATAATCGAAAAAAATTTCATTGTCTTTCAAGCTGTTATGATTGAAAGTAAATGATTTAATTCATTTGTGCTCATATTTTCAAATGATACAAAAAAAGAAATTTAGAAAAAAAACAGGGATTACTCCTACGACCTTGGACAATTTTTGATTTTTTTTGTAGCGAAACCGAATGATTTTCCTCTTTTTTTTTTGCTTACCAATTCTCGTAACAAGAATCGATCCCTTCCCCGAATCTTGATGACCTCGGGATGTCCCTGAAAAAAAAATACATATTGTCGCCATCTGCCGCCTGAAATTTAATAAATTGACTTGATAAAATAACTTTTCCTTGGAATTGTATTCCGTACAGTTTTATGATCGAGCGAACTATTATTTACATGTTCTCATATTTTTATTCAACAGTAATAATTATTTATGTAAATTCGCAATCAACTTCTTTTATTTAAACTTCATAAGTTTGATTAACATATTGAATATTGACTACTGTTGAATGTTGATATTAAATATCTATGAGTATTTAATATGACAAATTCATTCAAGTAAATTATCAGTTCTCTATTATTTTATACAGTCTATTATGTTTCGTTTGACAATTTGATTTATCAATTGAGAAATTATATTTCAATATAATCAATTGTCAAAGGCGAGAATATATCGAGTATTGATCTTTGTGATTGTTTTGTCAAAGAAAAAAAAAAGTACATGAATACTTTATTCATTGATACAGCGTACATTACGAACACCTAATGAAAATCAGACAAAATAAAGAAAAGTTAGATTTCTGTATCATTTTATGAAATATAGTGAATAATATTTTAGTTCTAGAAATTGTACTATATTAATTACCGTCTGACATATCGAATCGATAGTAGAACGAAATTTTGCATAACAGTCATTTTATGACAAGAAAAAAAAAATCTCGTGTAATAAAAATACTTCTACGCATTTTCGTCTGTCGAAATCAACCTTATCTCTACT